ATATATATATATATATATATATATATATATATATATATATATATATATATATATATATATATATATATATATATATATATGTATATATGTATATATATATATATATATATATATATATATATATATATATATATATATATATATATATATATATATATATATATATATATATATATATATATATATATATATATATATATATATATATATATATATATATATATATATATATATATATATATATATATATATATATATATATATATATATATATATATATATATATATATATATATATATATATATATATATATATATATATATATATATATATATTCTTGCTTTATAGGTGTACATTATGTTTATTAATTATGTTTATTATGGTTATTATGATTATTTAATTATATGAATATACAGCATTATATACAACATAATATTAGATATATGATAGAACATTCAAATATAAAAAATATATGCTAAAATCATATATATAAAAAATAAAAAAAATAAAACACACAAACACATACGGTATATAAATATTTATACGACACTTCTGTCTGGTTCTTGAATCTGATTGGCTGATAGCCGTGCGACATTCTGCCAGTTACAGCACTCATCCGGCCTCTTCACCCTTCAGCTTTGTGTATTACTCCACCCACATACAGTCAGCAACAAGCTGAGGACACTCTACAGTTTGACAAATATTGGAGCTGTTGGACAACATCATGTCCTCCTGAGGCATTTTAGGCAAGAATGTAGTCGTTTAGATTGCAACTATGCAGCTTATTTATAAGAATAGTGCCTATTTTAATATTTGTCATTTCTGATAGACAGCACGTTGGCGGCCATTAGCCTGTCATTGAGCAAAGACGGTTAATGTAGTCTATACACAAGATGGCGACAGAGATGCATAATAAGCCCTAATAAGATTAAAACAGTGTAATTTCAAACTAGAGCTGATCAAATCATTACTAAACAGGTTCGATCTCTCTCTTTTGTATGCTGTAGTGCTGTATTTATACCACAGTAATATTGTGATCTCCAAATTGCAGCAGATCAACACTGGGAGATCTCTGTAGACTGATGGCATTTCATGCTGTTCAGCCTTATAACCTTAAAATGTGAGCAAAATCAGCTGTTTAAGGCAACTTTAGACATTACGCTAGAGAATCACTCAAACACTAGCTCTACAGTGACGTGTGTGAACGAGCAGCGACATCACGTCAGCTGCAGATGTCAATGAACGGCAAAAGAAAGTAGTTCCTCTTACAAAAGGATTTTGAGACTCTCTGTGTTTGGTTTGCTTTTTTTATACGCACTATTATGCTGTCAAACTGTTGTATAAATGTAATATCACACTCGTAGCAGTCTGATGTGGCTGTATATCGTCACTGGTGGGACACTGAGGCACTCGGCCTGCAGTCTCAAGCCAACACACACCTTCTACCAGTGCTGATATACAGACACATTCGCACTGCTACTCGTGTGATATTGCTCATATAATACTGCATGGTATATAACATTAAATTATTCAACTAAATCTTAAATTATTAAATAATTATGAACAATTTTATGACAAATTTTATATATATATATATATATATATATATATATATATATATATATATATATATATATAATTTTATATATAATTATTTATATTTATTTAATAATTTAATATTTA